CAGCCCCTAATCCTACCTGCTTCCCCCTCCCTGATTTCTCCCCCAAACATTCCCCCCTTCCACACCCTAAAGCCCCCATATATAAAGTCTCAGCTCACAACCCCTGGGCTGATATCTTTCCCTGATATCTTTCCCTGACTTCCTTCCCTTCCCTGACATCCTTCCCTTCCCTGACATCTTTCCCTTCCCTTCCCTGACATCTTTCCCTTCCTTTCCCTGACATCTTTCCCTCCCCTGCCCTTCCCTGACATCTTTCCCTTCCCTTCCCTGACATCCTTCCCTTCCCTTCCCTGACATCTTTCCCTTCCTTTCCCTGACATCTTTCCCTCCCCTGCCCTTCCCTGACATCTTTCCCTTCCCTTCCCTGACATCCTTCCCTTCCCTTCCCTGACATCTTTCCCTTCCTTTCCCTGACATCTTTCCCTCCCCTGCCCTTCCCTGACATCTTTCCCTTCCCTTCCCTGACATCCTTCCCTTCCCTTCCCTGACATCTTTCCCTTCCTTTCCCTGACATCTTTCCCTCCCCTGCCCTTCCCTGACATCTTTCCCTTCCCTTCCCTGACATCCTTCCCTTCCCTTCCCTGACATCTTTCCCTTCCCTGCGGGAAAGGTGCCCCGTGCGAAATAAATCTGTGTCCCGCTGAGAATTCCATCTGTGCCTTGGTGCCTCATCCATCCGCTCATGCTCTCCACCACTCACTCTCTCCAACATTTTTATCTATCAGAGACTGGTCAGGCTTTTTCTGTAATACTGTTGGCAAATACCACGTGTTTCAATGTTCTTTATGAACCTGATTGAAATGCCAGCTTTTGAAGCCAAGTCTGGTTATACATCCATATATAAACCCAGTCAGTAATTCAAGCCTGACATGGAGATTCAGGTCAGTAATCCCTGAACTCAGAAGACTGAGGCAGGAGAATCATGAATTCAAGGACAGCTTAGACTACATAATATAATGAGAAATTGTCTGAAAGAAAAAGTTTATATTATGTCTCCATTTGTTTGTTTTGTTTTAGGCAGGGTCATACTATGCAGCTCTGGCTAGCCTGGAACTCACTATGTAGACCAGAGTAGCTTGGAACTCCTAGAGATCCACCTGCTTCTGCCTCCACAGTCCAGAGTACTGGGATTAAAGGTGTGGCCACCACACCCAGCCCATTGTTTACATTTTAATGCAAAAGTGTTTTTTATTTTTATTTATTTATTTTTTGGTGTGTGGTCTTTTTGAGACAGGCCTCCCTGTAGCTGGCCTGGAACTCACTATGTAGACCAGGCGGGCCTTGATGCCTGTCTCCCAAGTGCTGGGACTAAAGGCATGCACCACCACTCCCAGCCTGTGTTCTTTGTTTTTAAAATTAGCTGTCCAGGGACTCCTCCAACTCCCACTTCCCTCTCCAATTCATCAGAACTCCTTCCATTCTTCAATCAAGACAATAAAGTATTTTCCTGCTCCACACTCTCTCCTTAAGTATTTGCTTATCTGTTGACTCCTCCCATACTCCTTGCTACTTTTCTTAAAGTGGTGTGGTGATTTTTTTTTGCAAACTCCGACCTATAACATCCCATAGATTCATTTTTGAGCAATCTTTTCTTCTCAGACTTTTTGTCCCAGCGTCATATGTTGAATTATTGTCTCTACCAGTTTGGGCAGCTATAATAAAATAATGCTATAAATTGGGTGGCCTAATAACCTTTGTATTAGACTAGGTATATATAATAAATATGTCATTTGTTTCTCTAAACTCTAGAGGTTAAGAAGTCCAAGATCAAGGTTATCAGCAGACTCAGTGTTCTATGAGGGCCCTTTATAGAAGCAATCTTCCCTTTGTGATAAAATGTGGTCAATGCCTCTAAGGTCTCCTATAAAGACCCCAATTCCATCCATAGAGGCTCTGCTCTCTCTAGTCATTTGTTAAAGCCTGGCATTCCTGATGCCCTAGAGTGTCAGAATTTTGCGACAAGTGAATATTGAAGGGTGACATAAACAGGTAAATGGCAATAACCTATCTTTTCTCTCATTTTAAATACTACCTGTCTTATATACATTCCCATACATTTCAAAACACAGATTTGATAGATTTTCTGTTCTATTCATTTGCTTGTCCATTTACGCCTTCAGCTTGTGTTTTTGGGAGTGTGTATTTGTACAGATTGACATAGATTGTGGAGGAGACCAGAACAAATAAATATAGGTCAGCTGTTGATAATGCAATGAAAATAAGTATTGCATCTACTCATAAGTGAATTACCTACTGTTTGCACTTTGATCCTGGAAGGAGAATGGATAATAGAGAGAAGACTAGAAGAGAAAAACGTGGTAATACCAATACACCAAAGAAGATGAAGTGAGCACAAAGTGCTCTAGTCAATGATGTCAACGGAACCATGTACTCACTAATATTAGAAGTACATCTTGGATTTTCAACTGTAAAATGGAATATCATAAGGAATTGTTATGAGGATAAGTATTGCAAAAGGTCTGGCTCATGGCAAACACTTATTCTTAAAACATTTTCCCCTTAACCTCATCTTATTTTTGGTAAAGATTTCTATAGTTTAACTACCAGTTTCTCTTTTATTAACATTTTCTCTGTGTGTGTGTGTGTGTGTGTGTGTGTACATGCCAAATAACCCATGTGGAAGTCAGATGACAACTTGTAGGTGCTGGTTCTCTCCTTTTACCATATGGGTTTTGGATATCAAACTCAGGTCATCAGGCTTGGCAGCAAGTGTTATCTTGCCAGCCCAACAACCTGTTTTTCAAAATAGTTTCAGAACATAGAGTCTGGATTTGGGGTTCATGCTTGAGAGTGTTGAAGAGATGAGAAAAACTTCACAATTCTGTGAAAATTAGTGAGAAAACAACCCACTCCTGCCTGAGTAACCAAGCCCAAGTCTTCCTGGTCCTAGGGACTTTTGGCACAAAAGCACAACTCTCATCTCAAAGGGGTAAGTGGTAGTTTATTCTAGAGCCAAATATGAGTGACCATGTCCCTGGAACACAGATTCAGGTTTCCCCAAATTCCATGTTCCAGCGTGGAAGCAGTTTCATGAAGTTTTTATAGTAACAAAGCAAAGAAAAGTCATAAGTCAAGACACTTTTCAAATACATTGGTAGAAGCATTATATAGTCAGATACAGCAAAAGCGAAGTCTCAGCTATAGGACTTGAGACGTTGTCTGATGGCCTTGCTAGCCTTTTGGTTGGTGGGAACTAGGGATTTGCTAAGTCAATACAATTCCTAAAAGTTTTTATCTGTTACTCACAAGATGTTAAGTCAGAAACAGAGGTGAGCAAAGAGTGCCTATTTAGGGACTAAAGATGGCCCAAGATAAATTGTAAATAAGCGCTGGACAAGTAACATTCCAAAGCTCCACAGTCATCGAAGTGCTGGTCAGCCTTGCAGGAAGTTCAGTCCAGGATATAGAATTTTTCTGAGAACTTTACTTCACAGGACTTGAAAGTTTTCACATGTAGTTGAAGAAAGAATGAAAGAAAATGAAACTTTAATGA